TCGGTGACGGGGTGCTGACTGGCGGGGAGGGGGGTGTGACTCACAGAAGCTGCTGGAATAACTGGTTGGGGGACCTGGCGGAACCCCAGGTCCAGGACATCAGGAGGAAAGAGGTCTGGGCCTGAGGCACCTGAGCAGAGGCAGCAGCTGGGTCTGGCTGGTGAGAGGAGCCTTTGTCCCTGACAGAGCTGCCCACGGGCACGCGGCCGGGGCTGCCGTCCTGGGGCCTTCGTCACAGCCAGGTCAACAACAGCCCCAGACACAGTGGACTTGTGGGAGAAAGTGGGTGATTCTGATGGCACGAGCTCTCAGACATCTGGAGTCATTGAGACTGTGCAGTCAGGGAGGGCTTCCTGCAGGCGGTGACCTGGCTCTGCTCTCGAAGGCAGGAGGCAGGATGCAGGGGACAGAGGAGCTGTCATGACCCCTTACACTGGCCCCCTTCCAGCACGCTTTACTGGTCAGGAATGAGGACCACAGAGGCCCGGCTGGTGCCAGGCCCCCAGGCCTGGGGCAGCATCGGGCACGCCTTCCCCTCACCCTTGCCCCACCCCCTCGCCTGCCAGAGAAAGTCACCGCTTTCCAGAACCCGCGCCCTCTCACCCAGCCCTGGAGGCAGCCCTGTTCCCAGGCCGGGCGGTGCCCGCAGAATGTTGGCATCGGGCAGAGGAGCGGCACAGGCCTGGGCAGCTCCCCTTCCTGTGTCCCCCACCCCCTTCTCGGCAGGGCCCGGCCACGCCCAAGAGTCAGTGCAGTGTCCCCCTGGGTCCTGCTCCGTCCCTCCCAGTCCCACACGGGCCCCGGGTACACACAGAGGCGGGACTGGCCCGGGGCACCCAGCCTGGGAGTGGGAGCCAGAGGCACCTTTTGCACACAGGACCTCTGGCCTAGACAGGGCCCCTGTCACCTGCTCCTAGGGCCTAGCTCTCCCCTGGGACCTTAGCCCTTGTCCAGAGCCAACCTCCAGGATGCTGGGGCTGCTGGTGCCCTGGGCCGGGTCAGGGGCTGGGACTCAGGGCCGCCCTGCCCACACCGAGCGGTCACACGCAGTCCTTCCCTGCCTCGGGGCGCAGCCTATCCCTGGGAATGCCCAGAGGAGCCCTGGGTTCCTCAGGCCAAGAGAAACAAGCCAGTTCCCAGGCTGGGCAGGTGATGCCCTGAGACCAGCCGCCCGGGGTCCCTGCCACACCAGCCCCAGGACCAGCCCTGGGACCCCCACAGAGCCCGCATGCCTGGTGGTCAGCTTCTCTGGCTGTGGCCCTGAGAGGCGCTGGGACTCAGGCTGGGGGACGAGGAAACCCCCAGGTGTGAGCTGGTCCTCTGAAGTGGGGGACCTGCAGGAGGGCTGGGCACAGAGCCTCAGGCCTTGGCAGCGTGGGCCGTGGAACCTGCAGCCCCAGAATCGCAGAGCCCACGGCCCCAGAACTAGGGTTCCCGAGGGGCTGACTCCCCCTGAGTCAGCGCAGGGTCCCTGCTGTCCCAGGAAGAACGGAGCCTTTGTCTCATGCTCTGTCCTGCCTCTCCCTCGGCTGCTCACGGCACCTCCTGTGTCGCCTGGAGCTGATGGCCGTGAGCCCTGGAGCTGCATGTTGCTGTAGGTTCCTGGGCAGCAAACATGGGCCTTATCCCTTTCCTCCCTCCCCAGTAGAGTTCAGAAGAAAACAAGATAAACCAGCAAAGGGAAACCAGAAGTGGCTGAAAATGCCTCTTGCAAAATTTTTAATGATACTCCCCCAATCCATTCTTTCCTCTCTTTGGATTCAGAGTCAGAGATCTTAGAGCTGGTGATTCCAGTCATGGCAGGTTATCCATGCTTCCATCCACCCATCCATCAATCCATCCATCCACCCATCCATCCATCCAGACATCCATCCACTTATCCATCCATCTGATCATCCAATCATCCATCCATCCACCCATCTACCCATCCACCCATCCACCCATCCATCCACCCACCCATCCATCCACCCACCCATCCATCATCCATCCATCCATCCATCCATACATGCATCCATTTATCCATCTGTCTATCCAGTCACCCATCCACCACCTCCTCATCCACTTACACCACGTACGAGTCCTCCAGGAGTTCATTACAATGGTGTGCCTGCCTTCTCCTCCCTCTTCCCTTTCTTACTGACATGCCTGCCCCTGGTGAGAGAGCCCATGGTCTCAATAACCATGGAGGGAACCCGGCGGGGCTCTGAGAGCCTGGGGTCCACAGGGGTGGTGGGAAGCTCTGGGACTGGCCAACCCGACAGGCAGACCCGCTCTTCTCACTGAAGATGATATGATAAGGGGGGACCCCAGAGGACACCACAAATCCCAAGCCTCAAGCAGGAAATAAGTATCTTCAGTAGATATGTGCTCCGCCCGTCGTCTGTCCATCTCTGGCACCAGTGCCTCTTGCACTGGGAGTGTAAGGCCTTTCCCTGACAAGCAGCCTCCCCATCACTTTGTCCCCTGTCCCCTGGGAACAGGAAGTGCCCCTCTCCTTGTTGGGTGCTATCACTCTTTTTCCTAAATATTTAAATACTAGAGGCCCGGTGCACAAAATTCATGCACGGAGGTGGGGGTTCCCTCAGCCCAGCCTGCACCCACTCCAATCGGGGACCCCTCGGGGGTTGTCTGACCCTGTGAGTTTAGGCCCTGTGGGATTGAACCTAAACCAGCGGTCGAACACCCCTCTCACATCTGGGACTGCTGGCTCCTAACCACTCACCTGCCTGCCTGCCTGATTGCCCCTAACCTCTCTGCCTGCCTGATTGCCCCTAACTGCCCTCCCCTGCTGGCCTGATCTCGCTCCCAACTGCCCTCCTCTGCCGGCCAATTTGGTTCTGATTGGTCAGTTCCTATGCCAGTCAGCGTCTCTGGGCCTATCAATGGGGCCTGATCAGAAAGGTCCAGTCTATTCCAGTATGACTTTATTTTAATTTGACTAATTAGGTCTGCAATGACTCAATTTTTAAAAATATTTTTATTGACTTGAGAGAGAGAGGAAGGGAGAGAGAAACATCAATGTGATCGGCTGCCTCCTGCACGCCCCCCACTGGGGATCGAGCCTGCCACCTGGGCATGTATCCTGACTGGGAATCAAACCGTGACCTCCTGGTTGATAGGTCGATGCTCAACCGCTGAGCCCCGCCCAAACACTGCTGGACAATGTGGAATTTTAACAAGATGTTTAGAAACAGCTGAAATTCCGGGATTGGCATACTGTCTTCCCAGGCATGTGGGCCCAGACCTCAGACGGGCACCGCCTCCCCCGCCCCCTGCCTTGTACAGACCAGGTTCCTGCCGCCTGTGCAGGTGCAGGGGCGGGAGCCGGCGGGGCTGTCTCAGCATCAGCCGGGGCCAGAGACCCAGATGAGGGTCCTCACCTGGCCGAGACCGCAGCCCAGGCAGCCGCCCAGCAGCCGCGCTCCGCTCGGTGGCCCCAGGGACCCGGCTTTGGCACCTGTTCCTGGTCCCGAGGGGTTTGCGTGTTTTTGCAGCTGCTCTGGGTGTGGGACAGGCCCCGGGGGAGGGAGGTGGGTCCCAGCGGGCTGCCAGGGAGCTCTCCCCACAATCCCAGAGCTTAGGGGAGCACGTGTTTGTGCCATCAGCCTGGGAAAGTTACGCAAGCAAGCGGGAGCCTGGGTGGCTCCCGGGAGCGGGGCCTGCTGGGTGGAGGGACGGGGCACCTGGAGGCCCAGGGGCGCCTGGCGCCGTGCCCGGAACGGAAGAGCAGCCCTGACAGTGGGCCCCAGGTCACACGGAGCTGGGTGGGTGTGAAGGCGGGGGGGGAGGGGTGCTGTCACCCCCAGGCCCCAGACATGCTGCCGCTCAGCCCAAGCTCCCTGCGCCCCGGCTGCCAGGCCTCCCTCCGGCATTTCAGGATAACGAGTCCCAGCCTGAGCCCATGTGTGGCCCGCGCCACCCAAATCTACCCAGCAGCCAGCGGAGGGTGGGGGAGGGGGGCGCTTTGGGGCGAAGGCAACTCCCTGTCCTGCTGCCGGGGAGCCCAGCTCGACGGGTGTACCCACTGTCCCCTCTGGCTCCTGCTTTGGGGGTCTCCTTGCGGCTCCCCAGCCCTGCCGACCTCTGGGCATTGGCACCTGCTGCCCGGGTACCTTCCCGAGTCCATGGCACCCACCACCTCCCCTTCTGAGAGGCCGGCGACCCTCCACCCCCGCCCCCTCCACAGCCCCGTCAGGCGCCCCCACTTTTCGGTCGGTTTGCTGGCTGTGGCCCCGTCTGTCCGGTCACTGTGGTGTCCCAGTGCCGTGTGATCTGGTGCTCAGGGTGCCCCCGAGCGCTGCTCTGATGCCCGTGGGGAAGCCGGGGGGACAGTGGCGAGGACCCAGCTTTACCGCAGACCCCTCTGCCCACCCAGGAGCGAACCGGACAGCTCCGGGCCTCGGTGTCCCGGGTGCAGCGAGGGAAACTGCTATCGTCATGGAAACCGTCCCCGTGCCACCTTCTGAGCACAGAAGCTCTGGGGCGGAGTCAGGGGCTGTCATGTGGCAGCCCAGGGGGTTTTCCGTTGAGACTCGTAGGGGTGAGGCCTGCCCCCCCACCCCCCCAACCAAGCAGGCAGGAGGGAAATTTCCACCACGCGGCCCGGTGGGCAGCCCAACCTGAGCCCCAACTTCTCTCCTGGGAGGGTGGCCCCACCCAGACCCGGTGACAGCCTCCTCCTGGGTCTGTGGAGCCCACAAGTCTGGCCGCAAAGGAAGATGGGGCTGGAGGCTGGGGTCCCCCTCCCCCCGCCGAGGGAATCCGGGTGCCCTCAGGCCACCTGGGCCTCAGAAAGCCCCAGCCAGTGTAGCTCAGTGGATAGAGCGTCAGTCTACAGGCCAAAGGGTCCAGGGTTCGATTCCCCGACAAGGGCACAGGCCCGGGTTGCGGGCTCGATCCCCAGTGGGGGGCGTGCAGGAGGCAGCCGATCCATGGTTCTCTCTCCTCGTTGATGTTTCTCTCTCCCCCTCTCCCTTCCTCTCTGACATCAATAAACATATTTTTTTTAAAAAGAGAAGAAAGCAACATATTAGATAGAGAGAAGAGGAGGAACTGTGAACACTAAGGTAGAGATTGGAAGAATGTGACTACAGGCTCAGGAATGTCTGGAACTAAAGAATGGATTTTCCCTTAGAGCCTCCAGAGGGAATGTAGATGTACTGACACCTTGACAGCATCCATGGTTCTCTCTCCTCGTTGATGTTTCTCTCTCCCCCTCTCCCTTCCTCTCTGACATCAATAAACATATTTTTTTTAAAAAGAGAAGAAAAGCAACACGCCCAGAGACAACGCCTCAGAGAGGGACAGCAGGGCTGCACCTT